AATCAAACCTGAGTCCTCTGCAAGAGCAGCCAGTGCCCTTAATCACCGAGCCATCTCTCCAGCCCTTTTTTCTTTTGGTTGAGACAGGGTCTGGTTATATAACCTCAGTCCGTCTGAAACTTGCTGTGCTGGTTGGTCTCAAGATCTTCTTGCCTCAGCTTTGCAAATGGGGAGATTACGGGCCTGTACCGGGCCGGCCTCCTCTGTCAGTCTTGACAACGGACCTGATGCCCATTCCTTCCACTGTCTGCAGGTGTGAGGGACAGACCAAGCTGCCATTGGCTGGGGCTCTAGGGCCTCAGCCACAGTAACACCCACCCCACTGTTCCAGAATCAGCAGTAGAAAGTCACCCCACGACTGGCCAGGGGACAATTGGATTAGGTTTCTGTCTTCTGGCCATGGTCATTTTTTTTCTTTGTGTGTGTGTGTGTGTGTGTGTGTGTGTGTGTGTATCTGCATGTCTGTGGTCACATGTGTGTGTACATGCAAATGGAGGCCCCAGGTGGATGCTAGGAATCACCCTCCCTCGCTCTTCCACCTTTTTCACTGGGGCAGGGTCTCTCAATCAGTCCCAGAGTTCACTAATGTATCTAATCTTACCAGCCAGCTTGCTTTGGGGATGCCCTGTCTCTGCCCTCTCAGGTTGGAATTACAGGTGGGCCACCACACCCACCAGGTGGACATTTATGTGAGTTCTGGAGATTTGAACTCTGGTCTTAACATTTGTGAGGCAAGCACTTTAACCACTCCCCAGTCCTAACTATGGTTATTCTTTTAAAAAATTAGTTAACTAATTAATTTTCATTATGTATATGAGTATTTTGCCTGCATGTATGTAAATGCACCCATGCCATGCCCAGAGAGGCCAGGAGAAGGCATAGAATCCCCTATAACTGGAGTTAGCCACAATGTAGGTCCTGGGAACTGAACCCAGGTCCTCTGCGAAACCAGCCAGTGCTCTTAACCTCTGAGACATCTCTCCAGCACCCCCCATGGTCATGAGCAGGCCAATGTCCTCCACATCCAAGGCAAGGGTACACCAGGGTAACCCTGGGCAAGAACTGTCAGCTATGGATTGGGAGCCCTGGGCTCAGCCATGGCTTACTGCTTAGTACTCCACAGGAGCAGGCACTGCCTGGCTCTCAACACAACTGAGACAGGTGGAGGTTGAGCGTCTGAGAAAGCCTGGCTCAGGGACATCCCTCAGGTCTGATGCCCTTCTGTGAAATGGGGCTGGTGACAGCTGATTGCAGGGAAGGAGGGAGGGCTCAGGATGGTGGGATATCAGCCACTTTCTAGGGCCCCAGAACCTAGTCAAAGCTGGCCCCACTGCCCCACCTAGTGCAAGAGGGGTGGCTAGAAGCTTTTCTGGAGGCAGCTCTAAGGGGCCTCCTCCCATCTAGAGATCACACCTCCTCCCCCGTCAGCTAAAATAAACCCCTGCTCAGTTCCTTCTCCCCAGAATGTCTGCGGACTCTGCCAGGTGGCCACCCCTCCCCTACAAGCCCACCCATAGACAGAAGGGGAGAGCTATTGTCATACTTAGGGACCATGCCAAGCCTTCAAGTTAAGTCACACAGGGCATTCCTTGGAGAAACTGAGACGCAGCAAGGCCTGCAGGAGCCCTATACTCATTACAGGGCAGCTAGCCAGATCCCAAGGGGTGGAGTTGGGATTCAAGACAGCATCCTGCAAGCTCTGAGGCCCAGAGAAGGAAGGGAGGTCTGGGAGAAGTGGACTGAGAATGCTCCATCTCCTTTTGTTTTTTCTTTATTTTTAATTGTTTAATTAAAAATGTATATAGCTTATGTGTATGTATATGTGTCTTAGTGTATGTATATGCACCATCTGTGTGAAGGCAGTTGTGAGCCACCAGGTGGATGCTGGGAATGGACCCCGGGTCCTCTGGAAGAACAGCAAGGGCTCTTAACTGCTGAGCCAACTCTCCAGCACCTTTTTGAAATTTTTATTACATTTATTATATGTATACATGTGCACACACTACTGCACACATGTGGAAGTCACAGAACTCACAGAAGTCAATTCTCTTTCCCCCATGTAAGCCCTAGGGCTTGAGCTCAGGTTGTCAGACTTGGCAGCAAGTATTTTCATATACTGAACCACTTTTTATTTATTTTTATTTTATTTTTAGACTTTTGAGACAGGGTCTACCTGTAGTCCGAGCTGGCTTAGAACTCACTTTGTAGACCTGGCTTGGCCTGGATCTCACAGAGATCCGTCTGCCTCTGCATCCCATGTGCTAGGATAAAAGGCGTGAGCCACCATGCCCGGCATCCAGTTTCCTTTTTTAGAAATGTCCAAAGCTGGGCATAGTGACACAGACCTGTAATCCCAACATTCAGGAGGTTGAGGCAAGAGAATCTGGAGTTCAAGGTCATCCTCAGCTACACAGGGAGTTTGAGGCCAGCCTAGGCTACAAGAAATCCTGTCTCAAAAAGCCAAAATAGCTAGGGATGTGGCTCAGTTGGTGGATTGCTTGCCTAGAATGCACAAAGCCTGGGGTTCCATCCCCAGCACCATAGAAACTGGGTGCCAACCCTGTTGAGCTCCACCCTTAGAGGCCCTTGGGGGCTGAGCTAGTACCTCTTTGTATCTCACTATGTCATCCCTCAAACAGACATCTAACCTCTCTAAAGTCTAACCTGCTACCCGAACAGCCTCCCAAGGGCTGGGGCTAAAATGGCAGCCGGCAGGTAAATAGCCAGGCCTTGTCTATAAGCCGGGAAGGAAAGGCCTGGGACAGACTATGAGGGTGCTGTTTGGAGCAACCCCAAAGTCAATCAGAGGGCTTGGGTGTGACCTCCCAGCTGTAGTCAAGATCTGTTGTGGCTCCTGAGCACCACAGGGCCTTTCCTTACCAAGTCCTTTTGCTTCCATTTTAGTGTGGTGGTTTGAATAAGAATGTTCCCCATAGGCTCAACTATTTGAATACTAGGTGAACTGGTAGTGCTGTTTGGGGAGGTCATGGAACCTTTAGGAGGTGTGGCCTTGCTGGAGGAAGCACATGGGGGGGGGGGGGGGGGGCAAGCTTTGAGAGCCTTGCCTCACTTTGAGTTTCCTCTCTACTTCCTGTGCCTGCTTGAAGATGTGAACAATCAGTGAATGCTCAGCTTTCTGCCCCAGCTGCCTCCTGTCACACCTCCCTACCATGATGAACTCTAATGATGAACTCTAATCCCTCTGGAACCATAAGCCCAATAAACTCTTATTTTTATTTTTTTATTTATTTATTTATTTTTTGGTCTTTTTGAAGCAGGGTCTCCCTGTAGCCTCAGCTGTCCTAGAACTCACTATGTAGACCAGGCTGGCCTTGAAGTCACTCACAGAGATCGGTCTGCCTCTGACTCCCAAGTGCTGGGACTACAGGCATGTGGACTACCATGCCCAGCTATAAACTCTTCTTTCTATAAGTTGCCTTGTCATGGTGTTCTATCACAGCAACAGAGGAGTAACCAATACAGTTAGTTTTCTTTCCAGTTACTGTGATAAATATCCTGACAAAAAGCAACTCATGGGGTGGGGGAAGGGTTTATTTTAGCTCACAATTGCAGGTTGCAGCCCATCACTGTGGGGGACGTCACAGCAACAGGAGCTTGAGACAGCTGGTCACATCACATCCAGTCAAGTCAGAGTGAGATGAATGCATGCACACTCAATTACTTGTGTTCAGCTCACTTTCTCCTCTCTTACACAGTTCAGGACCCCTTGCCTAGGGAATGGTGCCACCCACAGTAGGCTGGGTCTGCCCACACTATTTAACTTAAGCCAATCCCCCACAAACATACCCACAGGCCAACCC